CTACGCTACCAAAGCTCCCCCATTATTATATATTATTATATACATTATCTGACACATAGCAACCACTTGGTAAGTACTGAATTGATTGATCTGTTAACTTAAAAATGAAGAAGAGTCCACAGTTAGGACAAATTACAATTTTCAAGGGTCACAATTTCTTACCTATCAAGTTTAGTGTAGGAACTAGGTACATGTCCTTTTCATTAATGACAAGGATGGGGGCAGGCGGTGGTGACCCAGTGTCTGATTTCTCAGTGGCAGGTACCAAGGGACAGCGTTGTACAAAGTGTGTGTCTGCCAGTCGCACAAAAGTGTTTGCTACTTCAGCATAATCCATGGTTTTACCATCTGTACAATAGGAGGAAAAAGATAGTTGAGATCATCTAAGACAGCTGAGAGTTCACTCCTGTAGCCAGGTGCCCTAAGCTTTGGCTAGCAGCTGTGGATACAGTACTGACCTTCCATAGTCTCTGTAAGTCGGTCTGCCACTTTCTTCACGACAGCAGACATTGTCATTTTGCCATTCAATAGCAGTTCCTCAACAATTAACTCTCCAGTGTCATTGTACAGCGTTTTGGAAGTATAGATATACCGGGGATACCTAAGCATTCGCAGTACTTGGCTGCACTGGGCTTCATACTCCACCATACCACGTTTGTGCACCTGATATGTCACCAGATTGTGTTGGATAAGGACACAAAGGGATTTTTTCACCTAGGTAGAGCCCAAAAGAAAGAAAGATCTGAAGACGCAGCTCAATGTTGTTGGCAATTTTTGTCCAATGGTTTTCTAAGCATCAATAAATGACTAGATGGACAGCTCTGTGCTTCTTCCCTCCCTCCCTTTGAGTAGTTCATAATAAGAATCACATGCCAATGGAAGACATCTAGACAATTCTCTTGCTATGATGCTTCTGTTTCCTCTGATTCTTATCTTCCAAATTGCAATTTGCTTTTACTCAATCATTCTCATTCCTTAAAGATACTGTTGATATTAATAGGATTACAGTAAACAAATGTGGTGTGGCACTCTAGGATAAGCACTGGACTGCTAATCACAAGGTCAGTGGTTCAAACCTACCAGCTGTTCTTTGAAAACTGTTTATTGGGTTGTTATTAGTCAGAACCGACTCCCTGGTACATGCCAACAACAGTAAACAAATGAGGTGTGGAATGGGAAGAGGAATGATGTGCCTAAGAAACCACAAGGAGCTTGAAACATTTGACAAGCAGCTTGGGAAAGACAAGTCCCTTATCTTTCCTCCCAAATAACTTGGTTCTGATTCTAGGGTCTGGCTTCTTAGCTTTTCCATTTTCTTGAGTGGGGAGTAGTGACAGAAGTGTAAATTAACGCTATTTAAACATACCTGGTCCAATGACGTTCCTGTGTCATGGGCAATTACTCTTAGGGGCTGGCTGCCAGTTCTGATTAGGTGGACTCCAATTTTTTCTACAATCTCTCCAAAATGCTCTTGCAGCAACAAAGAACACAGTTTAATTTCTGCTTGAGTCATTGTACTGGGGTAGGAGAGGCCTCTAAGCTAGGACAAAAAAAATTATATGATAGAAATTTTTTCTTTCCTGTTAGGTGTAGAGCTGAACATAAATTCATGTACTCTTTCTGAAGGGCAACTTGGCAATATACAGCAAAAGCCTTAACATCTTGCATATCTTGACACAACAATTTGACTTTGAGTATCCTGTCCTTCGTTCTGCTATGCATAAGGTCGCTATGGGTCGGTACCGTCTCGATGGCACCTAACAACAACAACAATCCTGTCCCAAGGAAACAATAGTAAAATGTCACTGTAGTCTTTTTATAACACGGAAATACTGAAACAATTTGATTCTGAAATGTCTACTTGACAAAAAGAAACGGACATAGTTAATTACATGATTAAACCGGTTGACCTGGAGTTCATTCCGACCCCGCGTGTGGTCAGGGTAGAACTGTGCTACATAGTATTTTTGCAATGGCTGATTTTTCGGAAATGGATCGCCAGGCCTTTCTAAAGTAGCTCCTGTGGATGGACTCAACCTCTAACCTTAAGACTTAACTGTTGCACCACCCAGACACTCCTTATAGGATTAGTTTTACAGATCTTCATTCAATTCCTCAGAATCCCAGTGACTGTCTCCTAGTATCACCAGAGAGACAGATACCATCCATCCACATGTTTTAAGAAAAACATCCCAGCCCCTTCGCTGTCCTAGAGGATTTACAAGGTCTTTGGTTCTTGTCTCTCCACCCCCTTTACGCAGGTTCGCGGCCCGAACTTGGTCTATGGGTCTAGAGTGAGGGTCGTTTTGTTCGAGCAGCATTTCCCACTAACCTCCAGGACAATGCAATCCGGGGGTTCCAATCCTAGTGTCTCGAGTTCCTCCTACCGACTTCGTGAGGCTCCCACTAGCCGCCCGAGCAGAGGGGGAGCCCACGGCCCTTTCTCGCAAGAGGACTGGCACTCGGAAGAACCAGGAAGAAGTAAAAATGTGGGCCGCTCTACCCCAGCTTTCCGGTGGTTTCCGGGACGCTCTTTCTCTCTTCTCGCTGGAAGGTGGGAGGACCGGCGAGGGGCTGTTTGAGGAGCCAGCCGGCGGGTCGCGGCGGGAGAACTCTCCTTCCTGAGCCTTTTTGGTGCTGGGAGGCGGGCCGCGAAGTCGTGGGCTGCGCCGCCGTTGTCTAGCTGAGCCCAGCGGACTCACGTTACCGACGTGGGCTCTGAAGCCGCCGGCCGCACGGAAGAGGCAGCGAAGGCGGCGAAGGCGGCGAAGGCGGCGACCGCACCTGGCGAGGTAGCGGCCTGGCGAGGGACCGGCCGGCTGTCCTGTCCGACAACACGTGGAGGAGAAAAATGGCGGAGGCCTCGGCGGCCGGGGCAGGCTCGGGCGCTGACCGATTTTTCTGTCACTTTTGCAAGGGCGAGGTTAGCCCCAAACTACCGGTAAGAGCCCCGGGTCCTCTGCGCTTGAACACCTGTATGGATTCCTATTCCCGATGTCCCGGAACTGTGTCTAATTTTCCTGCACAGCCTTGATTCTCCTGGTTTGGTTCCCGAATACCTGCTGCCCACAGTCTCGGGTCGCTGGACCCTGCCCTGGTTGTCCGGGCCTGTATTAAACCCTGGGGTTGCTCCACCTGTCCCTCATTCCATCTCCTTTCTTTAGCTGACACCCTCTGTCTTTTTGTTTTCCTTAGTAAGTTCACCTCTCACAACTCTGCCCCCAGTGTTCTTGCACTCTTCTTCACCTTTTCTCCTTCCTACAATGACCTCTCTTCCGTCTCCCCCATTCTCTTTCCGCTTTTGCTTCTCACCAACCTCTATTTCCCTTCCCACTTTTCCGCAGCACTGTCCTTCCCCTGCCACCCCCATCCCTTCTTTCCTCAGTGAAGTTAAATAGCGGGTGGTTGAGGATTGTCCCTATTCGGTTGTCTCTAGGGAAGGAAAAAGAGGTTTGGAAAGTAACCGAAGGGAGAAGACGGGAGATTTTGCTGTTCAGTGATTGCTAGGGTTTTGTGAAAGTGAAAACAGCAATGTGCTAATGCCTTGCAGACTGTCTGAACTCTATCATTCTAGAAGAAAATGGCTTTAGGAAGGAGGCAGGACATACTGTTTCAATTTGGTTTGATTTAGTTGCGATGTTGCCAGTATCATCTTCTATTACCCACTTCTCTTAAAAAGAAAAAGGATTTAGGATAGAATCTTGGGGACTGCATCCTCAAATATCAAACTGATTTAATCAGTTTCTGCCAGATTTACTAGTCCCCTTAAGAGGTAATTCAGTCGTGAGCGAACGGCTTCTGCAGCATGCTAATCGCTCCAGCACCCCCAAACCAGAAGCTGTTTTGGGTTGGGTTTATAGTGCCAATTGGGAGACCCTCCAGGGTGAATGTTAATCACTGGCAATTGGAATGCAAAGGTTAGAAACAAAGAGGAAGGAAGGATCAGTTATTGAAAAACATGGTCTTGGTGATAGAAGAGATGCTGGATGTTAAGTCTGTAGAATTACTTAATGATAGTTATTTTATTTTATTTTTTTTAAATAAAAAGTCTCCATTTTCAGTTTTAAGTAAGGGTGGCTGCAGAAGTTTATCTATTTCTAGTATCATAGAGACAATCTGTGAGAAAGCCTACTAAAGTGTGTCTGCCAGCCTTCTAAGCAGAAATAATCGAGCTCGGTGAATAAGTGCTTTAAGGGTATTGTCTTATAAAATTTGTGCTTTTTTGGGGCTATTCCAGCGTTTTCTTTTCTATCTGCCTGTCCCCAACTTCATAGTCATAATATTCATTTAAATGCTACTTCGTTTTGGTTTCTGACTTGGCTGTGTGAGTGTTTTTGCTTCAGTACTCCGGAGAGCAAGTGCTTATTTTTTTCCCCCAGTAGACATCAGAGCCTCCAGAATTCTCTTACTACACAGCTGAGTGTGACTGCAGCCAGTATGTGTGTGATCAGTGACCTGTCATTGAATATGCTACCTTTCAAACATTGGAGCCTTAAGCTTTTCACATCCTTAAGGCACTGCCAGTCTTTGTTTAAGTTCCAAATCCCCACAATTTATTTGATCTTTTCTTCTTGCCATCTGAAGTTCTCACTTCAAAGGGCTCTTGGAAAACGATAATTTGAAAGACTTTTTAGGTATTTTTTGTGTGTTCACAACCTGGTATATTATCTGTCTTGCCCAATTTATAAATTGAAGCCTAGTATAATGACATATAACTGAATGCTGTCTGTGCATATATGGCTCTATGTTGGATGTCTTGGAGGTGGTGTGGAAGAATATTTGGTCTCTGTTCTTAATGATCTCACAATCTTGTTGGAGAGGCAAGACAAAAATCACATAAGGTGATTGATACTGGCTAATTCAAAAAGACTTGAAAAAGCTTTTGGAAAAAACCTCTATAAATTTAAAATTCCATTTTCCACGGACTTTTTGAAGCTGCCTTGCATGTGAGAGAAGAGGGTGTGGGACAAAGTTTGGTGTATAAATCTGGGGCATTTAAGGTGCTCTTTGTCTTTCTAAAATAGCCAGGCAAGTAGGGGCTACACTGACCCCATACGTGACAAGCCAAATTTCAGGAAGGGAGGGGGACAGACATAATGCAGTAAGGCATATTTCATTGAGGTCCCAGTGATTAGGGAACTCTGTACCTTGGAGCTCACTTTTTGGGGGCTTTTTGGATTGGTGAGAGCATCATTGCAGAGCAGAGGCCAAGGCTTGTTCCTGGGGCCAATGGAAGTCTTATCCTAGGACCTCTCCCAGACCTTGTTTGTTGTATAATTTTGCTTGTATCTTGTCTGATTATAATAAATGGGTAGTTGTAAGTATTGGTAATGTTGTTAGGTGCTGTTGAGTTGGTTCTGACTCTGAGTACAACAGAGTGAAACACCACCCAGTCCTGTGTCATTCTCACACATCCTCACAATTCTTATGTTTGAGCCCAGTGTTGGAGCCCACTGTGTTAATCCATCTCACTGAGGGTTTTTCTTTTTTCTCTAACCCTGTATTTATCAAGCGTGATGTCCTTCTCCAGGGGCAGGTCCTTCTTGAAAACATCCAAAATACAAGATATGAAGTATCACCATCCTTAATACAGCATTCTGGCTGTACTCCTTCAAAGACAGATTTGCTTGTTCTTCTGGCAGTCCACAGTATAGTCGATATTCTTCGCCAACTGTATAAATATGGACAGCAGTCTCGGAAAGATTCCTGGTCGTGCACTGGTTAAAGCACTTCACTGCTAGCTGTTCCATTTGAGAATGTCCTGGTGATCTGCTCCCATGAAGATGACAGGTGTGGAAACCCTGTGGGCAGTGCTTCTCTGTCCTGTTGGGTTACTATGAGTTGGAATTGACTTGAGGGCAGTGGGTTAATGTTGGTTGTTAAGTGCCGTAGAGTTGGTTCCAACTCATAGTGATCCACCCTGTATAGGGTTTCTGAGTCTATAAATCTTTGCAGGAGCAGAAAGTCTCATCTTTTACTTGCACAGTGGCTGGTGGACTCAAACTGCTGACCTTGTGGTTCTCAGTCTAGTGCTTATCCTACAGAGACACCACACTCCCATGAATTTTGTGAGCTGTTCTAGAGAATTAACATACCCACAAGGGCAATGAGCCAGTAGGGCCTGGCAGTACTGAGTCTTTTGTGCAGATCCAGCTCTGGGTGGCTGGGTAATAGGGAAAGGCTGTTGAAGGATAGGGCATTTCTAGTTTGTGACCTAGTCTCAGGGACTAGAGAGAGAAAGAGAAAGAGAAAGAGACATTTGGTTTAAAGTGTAGGGAGTTGTATAGATTCCTGAGCCTATGACTCATTCTCAGTGACTTGCCCATGGGGAAGTTTGACTTAGCTTAGGATATATCAGGATGATGTCTGATATAATTCTGGGTAGTTAGGATCTGAGAGAGAACTTTTGCCACAGAAGTTGGGAAGGTGGGCAGCCTAGGAAGGTGAAACCTGGATCCATTGCCAGATACAAATTGGGTTCATGTGGATTCTTGCATTGAAGCCCTGTTGTAGTGTTTTCCTCAAAGAGGAATATGACAGTCAAAGCCGGATTTAAATTGAGTTTTGAGGGATGAGTAGAATTCAGGTGAGGAGACTAATATAGACTCTAAGACAAGAAAAGGAAGAGTGAATTGAAGACTGGAGAACTATTTTGCAATTCATGGTTGTTAGGCCTTTTTAGGAAAAGGTGAAGTGAGGCACAAAATTATAGCTTTGATTCATATATGAACTAGTGAGTTTTATCTTATTCAAGGTCATTTCTATATCCTTAACACCAGACATTGATCTTTAAAATGTTGATGAGGATGACCAGGCCAGTAAATAATTGGTTCACTACAAATCTGTCTCTGCTCCTAAAAACCAACTCTACTGGTAAGTCAGTAGTATGATTTTTCATATGCTCCATATTTAGGACCTGGTGTGACACTGTAGGATAAGCACTGGACTGCTAACCACACAAGGTTGGTGGTTCTAATCCACCAGCCACTCTTTGGAAACCCTATAAGGATCACTATGAGCAGAACCAAATCGGTACTTAACAACAACTGGATTATTTATGCTGGGTATTTATAATAACACGGAGTATTAAGTTTGCATAAAACATTGCTTTTTAAACTTTCTGGAGGGATTGTAATCATTGTAATGAAATTAAATGTATGATTTGTTGAATGTGGGACTGATGATCTGTCTGATCTATAAACCTTCACTCAACTCATAATAAATTTTTTTTTTTTAACTTTCAAATGCTGTCCTAAATATGTTGCTGTTAAGCGCTGTCAGGTCAGTTCCAACCCATAGTGAACCCTGCATAGGGTTTCCAAGGAGCAGTTGGTGGGTTTGAACTGTCAACCTTGTGGTTCAAACTGACCTTGTCCAGTGTGTTATCCTGCAGTGCCACATCAGGACTCCAGCATACATTGGACACGCAGTATTTGCTGAATTGGATGAATGTCATGAGCAACACAGGTGTCTGTCCTAGGATACCTAGACCCAGTTTATCATGAATAAAAATTTTCTTTGTCTGGACTGAATCTACAACTCAAGAGGGTAGTGGTATGATAGTTGGATGACAAGGCCACCTGTATGTTCTGGCCTCTTGGGCACCCACAAAAACCCAATCCACTCCATCAAGTGGATTCTAACTTCTATAAGCATATGGGACAGGGTACAACCACTACTTAGGGCTTCTGAGGTTATATGTCTTTACTGAAGTAGAATGCTTATATTGTCTTTCTCCTGCTGAGCAGTTGATGGGTTCAAACCACCGACCTTTTAGTTAACAGTTCAATGCTTAAACTATTGCATCATCAATACTCCTCTCTGAACACCAGAGGCTGAATATCTACATCAGCTTTCATTGAGTTACCCAGTGAGAAGGACTACTTCACTGTGGTCTCAACTCTTGCCATGTACCTTCCAACATGCAGAGCCATAATTATG